GCATGGAGTAAGAATAGTGAAGAATGTAGCCTGGGGAGGGGTCAGGTGTGGCCTGAATAGATTCCCAAGGGCTGGGAAGAGAAGCCTGAAAGGTCATAGTTTACCACCCTGGGCTAGTGGTTCCTCATCCATATTTTGATGGAAGTGAGCCATATTTATTAATTACATTTTTATCCCATCTTTCCTCCAGGAAACATTCTTTCCCTTCACATTTTATCCTCACCACAATCTTGTCAGGCTGAGAGACAATGATTGGCCCAAGGTCAATTTTAGGATGTGTGAAAAAATTCTGAGAAATTTTGCTTGTCTTCTCAAATTTCTTCCCTCGTTTCCTCAGAACCCCCAAATTCAGATTTTGCTTTAGAAGGTATTTCCTTTGCTATTCAAGAGAAGCTACGTGTGAGCATTTCCCACTGAAAATAGTTTCAGTTATAGAAATGGGTTGAATATCACCAACCAAAAAGCAAGAAAATTTGACTCATCTCCGAACTGTCTGAACATACCAAATTCAGTCATGACTGACAGAAGAAGAGAAGTTTTACTGGGAAAAGAAAACTCCTGTGAAACTTTTCTGCCCTAAAAGAAAATGAAATCTTTATTCGCTGGTGTAGGTTAAGGGAGAAAAGGGACTGCAAGAAACCAGGAACTATTGCTTGAAGGACTTTCTAAAAAACCTCCAGGGAAAACTTTAGCAAAGTCTTGAAAGGAAGCAAAGGCTCAAACTCTCCCCACAACATGTACTCCCCAAACACATGATATTTAAGAGGACAGCAAAGAGACCACAGATTCATAAAATATTAAATAAAATATCTCCTTTTGAGACAGAACAGGAAAAAAATTGAGATGCATAGAAAGTATAAGGAAGGCATAAAAGAAAACTGAAGTTCAGGGACTCTGAGAACATTGAATAAATAAAACCCTCTGAGGGAACTGAACCCAAAAAAGAAGGTTGACGTTGAGCCATTGAATATACCTCAGAATGAGAACCAAGAATCAAAATGGTTCCAGAAGTCTTGAAAGGCCAAACTAGACACTATGAAAGAAGTGAAGTATTCCTAAGCCTTGATTTCTCTCACAATACTAATACAGGGCTAAATGAGTCAATTGCAGAGAATGGGCAGGCGGTGGAAAGACCCTAACCCTTTCCCCTCTCATCAGGTTTCCCCAGCAAATGCAGCATCTGGAAATTAATTTTTATTCCCAAGGAGGATCCAAAACCAGATATGAGCTGTGGGATGGGGAACCTGTAGTCCTTGAAAAGACCACTGGTCACCTGTGCTGGGTCAGATTGGAATTGGAATTCAACAACATCTGGATTGGTGTTGGCTAGATTGAAGAAAATCAGCTCGGGGACATTTGTAACTATGAAACTGAACACAGTAAAATTAGGGTCACTTCCACTTATGTTTCCCTGTAAATGCCACACACATGCATGTGCCATTTTCATTATCTTTGCAAATGGGAACCATACCTTTGTTAGCATCATGCCTTGGAGAACGGCTACAGCTCACTGGGAGACATTATGACTTGCATGTAGAAGGTACTAGGCTCAGTCTCTGGTATCTTCAGGGAGGGTTGGGAGAGAACATGGGGTGTTATCTAGCCACCCATTGGAGTTGACCCACTGAAAGTAATGCACCTATCTTAGTCGTGTCCATGAATTTCAATGGATCTGCTGTGAGTAAAACATGGTTGAATACCATTCCTTGTTTGATATTCTGGAGAACTGCTGTCAGTCAATACTGATGTAGATCGATCAATGGCCTAATTATAAGGCAGGTTCCTATGTCTATCTTGCCCCAAATCCACCACTAACATTATGAGAGAATCAATGCACAAATATTAAGATTGTTTTGCTGACAGACTCTGAGCCAAGACTCTCTAGATAGTGGCTTAACCAAGCATTTAATGTCTTGGTGGGTTTCTCCCCTCGCTTTGTTGATTTACTACGTTGATTTCTCAATAGAGTTCACTGCTGAAGTCTCAATTTTATGGACTGATCATATAGTTTAGGAGCTTCACAGTTACTGGAAGTGCTTTAGGCTCCAATCCTATTTACCTAGCCTTCCATATGTTTTGAACAACAAATATTATCTTCTACCATTGACCATCCTGGCTGGGGCTGATGGGATTTGAATAGAAAATGTCTGGAGGGCACCAGGTTGAGGGAGGCTGCTATGCACATTAATCTGGGTGCAGCCTGCCCTGAACTCATGAATCCTAGGATTCTAACAGTGTGCATTGTTATAAAAACAGGCTACACACATAAAAGCAGTCATTTAAGGCCAACCAAGTTTTCTCCATTGGGTTGTTCTCGTGGGAATAAAAATATATGCCAAAAGTTGACCTTCTTCCCCTCTGTTCATTATATTTGCAGCCCTGATTGACTTTTAAGCGTTTCAGCATATTTTTCTAGCACACTGATATTGTCACATAGGCTAAATAAAGAGGTTCCAGCAGGTGAACAAAGCTAATTCGGAAAGAGGTTAATATCTTTTCAGAAAGCATTGCCTTTGCTCTGACATACCTTTTTGGCTCTCAGTGACATCTGACTGGCTATGTGGAAAATAATCACTCTTACTAGGAAGAAGGCAATTTGAAGGGAGAGAAATGATTTTGAAGTTGCAGTCAATTAGGGTCTCACAATGGGCTGCTGCTGTCACAACCTAAAGGGCACTATCATTTTCTGCCTTGGCTGATGGCACCAGGTGCCCAAACATGCATCTTCTTTCTGCAACATTCCTTATATCATTCTATTCCATTTGGAGCAGTTTTATTTTATTTTATTTTAAGCTGAGCTTTGACCCTAGGAAGACATAGGCATTGCGAATTAGTAGTTTCAGTGCCCAGGAGACTGGTTCTGAGTTTCAGGGTGCTCCTGGACCCACCTTTGTTGCTGGAGGTTCAGGTAGTCTCAGTGATTTTTACTGGCTATGGCTGGTGCACCAGCTATCCCATTACTTGGACAGAGATAGTCTGGCTATTAATGTACTGGTAACCACAAGACCCGATTATTGCAATGTGCTCTACCTGGGGCTACCCTTGGGCCTGTCTGAAGCCTCTAGTTAGTGAAGAACACTGCAGTCAACAGGGGCAGACAAATAATTTCTATACTCAATAGCTTGCATGGCCTGCCCATATACTACCAGGCCAGGTTCATGGTTCTTGTATTACTCTACAAGGCTGTTAAGAACTTGGATCCAGGATAGCTCAGGGACCACCTGCTTCCTTATATCCCTGTCAAATCACTGAGGATTTGGGAGGAATCACTGTTCCTGCTCCTTCTCATTGGCTCAGATGCATAGCTCATATCTACCAAAAGCCATGTATTCAATTATGTGGCTCCAATTTTATGACCTCTTCAAGTTGAGGTGAGACACAGGCCCCCATCCTTTTCAACTTATGGGACATAAGGAAAGCTTTACAAAAAATAAATAAATCAGCAGGCTTTTTAATTGAATTCTGATGTTATGGTTTTAACTCATTTTTAGTCTTATTGTGTCTCCTGTACGCCACATAAGAGACAACTGTAATTAAGTGGTATACAGATTGTCAAATGAATCAGTAAGCACCTGCAATTGTTTTAGTTGTTTTTATAATTGTATATTCTATTGTTGTAATCTGTCCAGGCTGTCACAGTCTGGTCTACGGGAGATCGAAGCCCCACTGATGACGTCGGGACCAGGGGCAAGATGGCAGGGTGGGAGCAGGAACGAGAGTCCAGAAGCCAGGGGTCCAAGGGTAAGGAAGCAAGGAGTCGCGAAGTCAAGGGTCCGAGGGTCAAGGGTCCAAGAAGCAGGGAGTCAGGAAGCTGAGGTCTGAGGATCAGGAAAGCAAGAAGCCAAATGCAGCAAGGCAGGAAGCGTGTTGCTGTGGCAAAGAGCTGAAGGGAAATGCTGAGCTTATATCCCTTCCTGGCTCTTGCCACCAGGTGCAGTGAGTTACCAAGCGGCCTCACCTGTGCGGCTGCGCCTTGCTTCTCCAGAACAAACTTAGGAAGGCCCCAGTCCTGCAAACCCCCACTGGTCACAGGGCCTGGCTCCTGCACGCACTCCTGACACTGGCACCCAATGGTGAAGGTAAGAAAACTCTCTCTCTCTCTCTCCATATATATATTCCTTGCAAATATATAAAGTACCCTGGGCATTTTCACTGTAGGAAGATTTTTTTGGGTTTTTTTTTAAAAAATCACTTTGGTTCATTAAAATAAATGGAGTTTTAAAATGCTTTAGCAATTACATACAATGGCTTCCAGTTGGTTGTCATTCTAATTTCTGCTTAAGCTATTATTTTATTTACCCTGATTAACACATTCCCTGGCTGTAATTTCATAAACCTACTTTAAACAACAATGGAGTTCCTTTCAATTGCATGTTTTCACAGGAACACAAAGCTCAATAATAATGTGTTATTGTCATCAGTCAACAGAAGTCCATCAGCAGGGACGGCAATTGTAAAAGCTTGAATGAACTAAAACTGTTTTGCATCTCTCTTAATAAAAGATCCACACATTTTTTTGACTTTCTAAAATATCGTTCAAGAGCAAGGAAAGCAACAACTCAGAGGAAAATGTGAAATACTCTTCCAGTGTTCTCCCCCCAGACTCAGGTGGGAATAATATAGCCAGGTGAAAAAGAGGATAGAATCCCTACACATTTAATAGTTTATGTATTTGTTTGTGCATTAAATTTATATCCTGTCCTTCATTCCAAAGGAGCCATGGGTGACAAGTGATCAAACAAAGAAACAAACAAATATTTAGAACAATCCTAATACAAATGCAAACTGGTTATGTAAAAGAAAGAATAGTTTTTTAAGAGAATACAAAGAGTGAATGTAAAAGAAGGAATAGTTTTTCAAGAGAGAATACAAAGGGGTATGTGGCGATCACACAGGGTCCCCGGACGTTTCACCATCTATTGATCCCTGTGCCACCACTTTATTTCTCGCTGCCACCACCCAGGCCCTACCTGGGACAATACTGAGTCCAGTCAGAGTTAAATTGAAACATAAACTTCTGTTTATTTATTGCAGTTTAACAAGCGTGTGGTTTCATAAATGGTATTGGTCCATTACAATCATGGGGTGCCTATCCAGACCTATAACTTCCACTACCTGCTCTCACTCACTAAACCACCTCTCAGATATTTCCTTGTCTTCCTAGTTCCTAACTGTTCCTGACTCAGCTTATTTCGCTACAGTAACTCAACCTACCCACAGACTCTATCCCAATTCACTCCCACTCCAACCAACCACTCAACTCACAACAAACTCCCCCCTTCACCCCTCCCAGAGCTGGTTTTATAGTCCCTCTGACTCCACCCACCTGGGTTCTGATTGCGTAACTTGTTTAACTATCTCACCTCCAGCACTCTCATATGCTAACGTCACAGGGTATAACACGCTTGACAAACTATACCTCCTGAGATTCAATCTTCTACACAACTATGGAAGGTGCAGGAATTTTGCCACCACTCCCAACCTGGTCACACTATGCAGGAATAACATACTTAGGACAGAAATATATGTTAGCACATATGGACCTCAGTTCAGAATGAAAGGATGTTGAACGTAGGGATGGGTGAAACTGTCAGTTTTGGCTTTTCTCAGTTTTCCAGTCCTCATGAAAATTAATCAGGGAATTTCTCTGAATACACACATTTGTATGCCATTTTGTCTAAGTTAAACATTTGCACGAAGCGTTTTCTTATAAAATAATGTGTTGTTTTTTACTTCTGCTAATATACACTTTCTTCCTCTCTCATAACACTAGAACTCATGGACTTCCAGTGCAGCCGAATTTTGGAAGATACAGGACAGAAGAAAAGAAAGTACTTCTATAGAACTCATTCCCACAGGAGGTGGTGATGACCACTAACCTAGGTGGTTCTAAAAGAAGATTGGACAAATTCATGGAGGAGAGGGCTACTGAAGGCTACTAGCCATGGTGGCTATACTCTGCCTCCACAGCTGGAGACAGTAATGCTTCTGAATACCAATTGCTGGAAACCATAGGAGCGCAAAGTGCTCTTGTGCTCAAATCCTGTATGCAGGTTTCCCATAGGTGTCTGGTTGTCAACTATGAAAACAGGATGCTGGACTATATGGACCTTAGGCCTGATCCAGCAGCCCCCTCTTACGTTCTTAATATATGCATTTTAACACACAATTCACCCTAAATATAAGGAACTGTGCACATTACTGGGCTGGAGAACTGCATAGCAAAATTTGGAGAAGTGCAAATTTTGTAAAATGGCTGTACTTTGGTTGGTGCATTGCTTCAGCAAGTGAGAAGTAGGTAAGTTTGCCTTTAAATGCAAAGTGAATTGACCATTTCTCCTCCTTTCCTAGCTGAATGTGAATCATAAGCAGGGGCGTAGGGTACCTGGCTGGAGAGGGGCAACGCTGCCTCTCCAATGTTTTGCCAGCCTTGACCCAGGAGAGGAGCAGCAGCAGGGCACCACGCGCACAGCCCAGCCTCTCCCCCCCCCCCACTATAATGGAAAAGATTGACTTTGAGCCAAATCATTCAAATAGTACTTGATCAAAGACACAAGATAGTAGGACCCATTGCATTTCGAAGACCTCTTAACATCTCCAGTTAAAGGATCTCCTGGAAGAGCTAGACATCCTCTTGGACAATGCACAGGACCAAACTATTCTTTGTTGAGATGACAGGGGAGTAGTGGGCCGCTGAGAAGAATGGGAAGAAAGAGCCACTCAACCCAACCTGTGCCCATCGGTTTTCCTCTGTTAATTTCTCAAAGCCAGATTTCCTTCAGCTAGGATTACTGGATAAAACCAAATAATTAAAAACAGCCTAAGAGAACACTGGCAAGAGAGAATCAGCAGGCAGGAAAATGGATTGTGTAATGTCTAGTTCCATCCTCAGGCTAGCAGTGTCGGGAAAGACCTCAATCTGAGATTTTAAGACAGCTGATGTCAGTGAGAGCAGACTTGTACTGAGCTAGATGGAAAGAAGCCTATCTCAGTCAATAGAAGCATCAGAGCGTGTGTGTGTGTGTATAACAAATTTTGGAATCTTGAATTATATGTTGAAGCTTGAAGGCTTAGTGAGAGTGAAAGGATAATGGGTCTTCTTTCTTTTCCCATGGTGAGCCCAAAGGAGAGAATATGTTGGCACATTTAAACAGCTGGGACAATGAATTGAGCTTCTGAACTTCTCTTTTATATGATCTTTTAGCGGTCAACCCTATATCCAAGAAACTGGCATAAAGCAAGCTAGTAAGTTGAATCGGCATAAAGTTGCACCAGATCTGAACACCATTTAGCAGTGGGACTGCTGCTTCTGTGTCTAAGTCTGGAAGAGGGAAAACTTCAAAATAATGTTTTATGCTGGATTTCCAGGTCACATGACTGAGCTGTATAGGCTTAGTATCCAGCCTAAGTACCCCATCTCCTGTCCTACCCCAGGCCCCCACAGCGCCCCTCCAGCCTCAGCCATGCCAAGATTAGCAAATTATGCCAGCATAAATTTGCCTGAGCCAGGGTTGAGGACTAGCCACTGAGGACAGCTGTGCCTGCAGTGACATAGCTGGATCTAGGAGCACCCCTAGACTACACACCTGCTCCTTCATGAAGTGTGCAACCCCATCCAGGGCAGGCAGCTGACCAACTTCCTGGACCCAAGAGCAACTCACTAACAGCATGTCTGCCTTGCCAGGATTCAAATTCAGTTTGTTAACCCTCATCCAGCCCACTTCTACACCCAGGTACTGGCCCAAGACCTACCCAGGCACTCTCCATTCAGATGTTGCAGTTGCAATATATAGATAAAATTGGTATTGATATATAACTTTAACTGGGGTACATGTGAAAATCTCACATTTATATATTTGCCAATTTATAAACTACTTCAGAACCAAAAGCTACTAAAGTGATGTACAATAAAACAAAAAAAAGGTAAAATGCAAAACATTAGAAACTCAGTAAACTGAAAGCAATTAAACCATTTCTACAACTGTACAATTGTCAGATACTGATCCCCAACGCAGAGCATATGTTTGTTTGTTTTCATTTAAAATTGTTTGATGTAAAAAAACAGCAAGGACATTTACAAAATTAAACCAATACAATAAAATATATGAACAAAGTTCAGTGGAGGCAGTATTATGGATAAGTTTTTACCAACCAGCGGAACACTTTTATAGTAGCTTCTCAAAACTCTGAGGGGAGGTTGTTCCACGATGTGGGGGCCACCACAGAAAAGCTCTTCCTGTAGGTTGCCATGGGATGTGTTTTGAGGGATGAAGCACAGTTAGAAGAGGCTCCAGTTATGACGGCAGTGAACGGGCTGGCCTATGTGAAAGAAGAAATTCTCAAATAGGTTAGTTCCAAGATATATGGAGCTTTGTAACTCAACAACAAAACCTTGAAGCAAATAGGCAGCCAGTGCAATCCCTTTAGCACAGGTGCAACAAGTGCTTGCTCCATTAAGCATCCTAGCTGCTCCATTTTGCACAAGCTGCAGCTTCTGGACCGACCACAAGGGCAGCCCTACATAGAACATCATGCAATACAGAAGGATGCAGCTTTGATGTGCATGCCAAGCCCTCCCTGGCCTGCTTGCTTCAATGAAGGCATCAGTTCCTGATGGAAATAACTGGTCATTGTGAATCTTGATTCGACGGGTGCTCTGTTATGCATGAGGAGAAACATGGCATGCCAGCTTTCTATCAGGGAATTTTTTTTTGAAAATAACTATCCCCCTTTTTTAAAAAATGAAATACATGGGTCACCATGAAAATGATTTGGCAATCAATATTGCCTCTTTGCTAGCTTTACAGAGGTAAACTTTTTAATTAAAAAAATAGCTAGCTTTATTTTCAAGAGCCTTTTTAAAAAAAGTCTCGCATATTTGTATTATTTCCTTTACGTATCCATTTAAAAATAAAACAACAACTTTAAGGAATGCAAGACATGATCAATATTCATCTAAAAGTGTGTGAATTCCCCCACCACATGAACTTTCTTATTTAGATACTCTATATCTTTTTAAAAGCTGATCAATTATAATTAATTATTGTAGTATTATTTCAGCTGCAAAAATAAAACAAGGCGGGGGTGTTACTTTTAGGCATCCTTACATAACGGATCCAGTAATTTATCTGTATATTTCCTAACAGAATAACTGCATATTATCAGAATATTGTTTGGTGGGTTTGGTTGGGGGGTTATTTGAGAAACAAATGTAAAGAGATACCTTTGGCTCCACCATGGAGCTGGCTTGTGTAACTGCAGCTGAAATTCTCATCAAATAGCATTAATCTTATTTACAGCAACTGATGTGTTTTGAACTAAAAATGTTCCTTCCACCCCACCCACCTCAAAAAACCTATTTGTAACAGAGAAAACTGTGAGACACAGCCATTCAGTATTTTTAAAGCACACACAAGTTATATGCACAAACAAACTGGAAACTGTGCTTCTATAATCAAAGGCATGGGTAGGCAAACTAAGGCCCAGGGACCAGATCTGGCCCAATTGCCTTCCAAATCCAGCCCGCGGATGGTCCGGGAATCAGCAGCGTGTTTTTACATAAGTAAAATGTGTCCTTTTATTTAAAATGCATCTCTGGGTTATTTGTGGGGCCTGCCTGGTGTTTTTACATGAGTAGAATGTGTGCTTTTATTTAAAATGCATCTCTGGTTATTTGTGGGGCATAGGAATTCGTTCATTTCCCCCCCCAAAAATATAGTCCAGTCCCCCACAAGGTCTGAGGGACATTGGACCGGCCCTCTGCTGAAGAAGTTTGCTGACCCCTGATCAAAGGGCTATAAATGTCATTTGAAAATGAATATGTTTTTGATGTCTTAATTTGAAGACCCAGATTGGATGAAGAACAAACATACATACATACCTACATACATACAGGTACTTAAGAATTTAAATGAAGTTGTGGTCTGAAGAGCAGACTTCTTACTTCTATTTGTCCAAAGGACACCTCTAATTTTTAGATAACACCCCCTGCCCCCGTTTGAGCACACTGTGGACTTATCATGATGGAGAGATTGATTGTACTTTCCAGAATGTAACTTAATTCATTCAAATAATTTTTACCAGCATCTTTTCAGAAAGCAGCTTTCAGCATCTATAATCATTTGTCACAAGCATTTATCCACAGTGCGTTTCACACTTGGCATCTCTTGGCATCTGTTTTCCAACAAGACAGACGAAGCTTCAGATGAGACATCTTCAACACTATCCCCAAACACATGCCGCCCTCACATGTCATCATAATTTATTATTTAGTGGCAAAATGCCTATCATCATTACACGTTTGTGTGGAGGGAGGGCTTGTATATTGCAAAGGCCTCTGGAGGTACAGTGGATATTCATGCCCTTCAAGAATCCTTGGGCTACCTGCAGGATTACGGGCAGAAAAGACCACCTAGTTTTACAGGTGGAGTGGAAACTTTGCACCAAGCACCTAAGTGTGTCCCACGAGTGAATGGCTACCACTTACCTGCTTATATTATAGGCAAAGTAAAGGGATGTGCTTAAGGTCACAACTGGGTGTGGGACTAAATTTGTTCTCATCCTTCAGTAACGGGAGGGGTATAAATAATAATAATAATGGTCATCATCGTAATTATCATTATCATTATACCTACAACTATTGAGAATCCAGCCTGCTTCTATCGCACTCTGAATTCTGTTTCCTGGTTACCCAGGAGCAGGTGGTAAAGACAGGGATCTCTCTTGGCCATAAAGGTAAAGGTAAAGGGACCCCTGACCATTAGGTCCAGTCGTGGCTGACTCTGGGGTTGCGGTACTCATCTCGATTTACTGGCCAAGGGAGCCGGTGTACAGCTTCTGGGTCATGTGGCCAGCATGACTAAGCCTCTTCTGGCGAGCCAGAGCAGCGCACGGAAATGCTGTTTACCTTCCCGCCGGAGTGGTACCTATTTATCTACTTGCACTTTGACGTGCTTTCGAACTGCAAGGTTGGCAGGAGCAACGAACAACGGGAGCTCACCCCGTCACGGGGATTTGAACCGCCGACCTTCTGATCGGCAAGTCCTAGGCTCTGTGGTTTAACCCACAGCACCACCCGCATCCCTCTCTTGGCCATACTTGGAGGTTAAACCTGGGACCTTCTGCTTGAAAAGCATGTGCTCTACCACTGACTTATGGCTCCTTCGTATGAATTCTTGCCTGCAAGAAATTGTTTATTTAGTTAAAAATGTCCAACATTCAACCACGGAAGTAATATTTTAAAGGGGGGGAATCCACTCTTTCCCTAAAAGCCAGCATTTATTTTTATTTTTTTGCCTATTCTACCGCTGTTCCTGACAGCTAGGTCCAGCTTTGTTCACCTCTGAAGGAGCAACTGTTTCAAGCATCTTGTTTTCCATTTATTCACTGGAATGCCTTCTACGTATTTTCATCTAATTGGTTCCACAACCTACGCAGCAACCCAAGATCTCTGCAAACATACACAGTAACAAACACAAGCACCCACAGTGCTGCAATCTGGATGCAAAGCTCACAGTTCCTTGACTTCTTTGCAGTAAGTAACACAACACCTAATATCTACCAGGTGCTATTGTTGTACAATAATTAAAAGTAATAACAAGGCCGTGCCTGTGGGCTTTTAATACAATTAAGGACATGAAGCATTGCAGGGAAGGTAGAGGTTAAGTATCTGAACACTGGGTACGACGGAGAAATTCAGAAAGAGAAAGAGAAAAGGCTGAAAGGGAGAACATCTCATTCCAGCAGGTAACTAGGCATCAGTCTGTCCAGCCATTAGTGTCTGTAAAGCTTTTAGCGAGGTCAAACTGTTCGTTGGTTTTTTCATTCTTCCATCATTTATCCTTTGACCCACCCCCCCACACTCCACAAAGGCAACACTTTTGAATTTTAGTGAAATTGTTACAGGGAGGAGAGGTTATTCCTGAACAGTGATAAATCTGAAAATGGTACAGTATTACCATCTGCTGCCCTTCAGATGATTTCCTTCATTTATGCTTACAGGGTGTTTCTTCACAATAGCGAAGCCACAGACAGGGAAATGGAATAATACACACTGATTTCTTTTAAAAGTAAGAGAGTGAGCAGCCAACTGAAGCACTGCAGACATCCTCCCTAGCTTCCAACGTTTACAAGAAAACCCGGCCAAGGACATCATGGAGGTTTTCAGGAAGGGAAGGCAGCCGGGAAGACTGCAGAATGCAGATCACCCGACGACAGATTATTTGTCAAATGTAAGAAAAGACACTTTCCAAACAACTCAAAAGTAGGGCACAGCAACAAAACAACAACAAAACCCTACACCCCCACCCATGGAAATTTTCACCAAAATTTCCCTCCTCTTAGAAAATAAATTCTTTTCTCATTAATTGACAAAGAATGGTTGAAAAAGCACAGAACAAGCATAGAACTAGATTTCTTTTTTCAAGGTAGAAGATTTCTCCTGAAACACCCTTGTATTGTGGAGCAAGCATGATTGCCGTTGTTTATTCAGCAAGAGTGACAACTTCTGTGTGGAATCAGTTGCAAGGAGTTGTGTGATGAGAGGAATGGTATCTGGATGGCAGGAAAGCTTGTTTTCTATGGCAAATGTGTTCACAATCCACACTGCCTTTTGCACAACTACTTTGCTGTTAGATTCCACACCTTATACGTCACACCACTCTTTTCACCACCTCTACAGATGGTGGAAAAAGAAATAACGGCACTTGGATGTAAACCAAGAATAAAGCATCATATGCAAGATCAGATAAATAATGAACAATTGCAGGTTACCTAAAATGTTTTTTTTAATGACACACACACACACACACACACAGAGAGAGAGAGAGAGAGAGAACTAGCTGTGAAATCTTACCAGAGAATATTAAGTACAACATATATATTGTGAGTGCGCAGAAATGAGTCTCAGTATAGATCATGAGATCTGCTATGATAGCAAAGCATGTCACTCTCCAACACTTGAATACATCAAGAAGACACAGAAGAGCTTCTGAAACTGGCAGTCAAATAATGAAAAGTACCAAATAGGCATGATACTACCATAAACATCTGGTTTGAATTCTTAAGGCTCCCAATTTCCCTCCCTTGACCTCCATTTCTGGCTAGCCTTACCTTTCTTTTCCTGTTCCCCTCCTCCTACTTCCTCTCTGTTTCTCCATTTGTCTCACTACCCTTCTCTTTTTCTGCGTTAGGAAGGAGGAACCTGTGGCCAGTTTTCAGGGAAAGCATTCTAGTAGGGGCAGGATGAGGATTCCCTTTCACTCTCCTCCACTTCAACACACCCATTCCTACAGATGCAAAGGAGAAGAGGGCATCAAGGCTTCATTACAGGTGAGTTATAGACACTGCACTTACTCGTTAAAAGGATTCACAAAGCACTTCACAACAAATGTTTCCAAACTGATGTACAATGCAAATATGAAAGGAACAACACGTGTAGCAACAATTAAGTATGCATACATGACAGCCTTGACAACACACAATTGTAAGATTCCATATACTATGCAATATAAAATGGCAGAGTCACTCTTTGATAGGAAGCTGATTCCACAGAGTTGGGAGCTGTAACACTAAAAGCCCAGCTTCTAGTTGATGTCAGGCATACAGTACTTCTGGGACATATGGGACTGTTAACAACACTCCAACAGAGAAATGCAATTACTGGGTAGGGACACATGGGGCAAGGCAGTCCCTCACATAACCTTGGTTGTCAAAAATGCTTAGTAAATAGACAAAAAACCTGGTTACATTCATGCATAGGGAACCTTTCACCTTTTCCCTTCTAGCCAAGGGATTTCTTGTGCATGTTAAGTAAACCACAGCTTATTTGTAGCTTCATCATATGATGTACGGTAGATCAGGGGTGCAGAACCTGAAAATATTTCTCCTGGATTGGAACAAGCTTGTGGAGCTGAGGCACCTGCGTGTTCTAAGCTGTCATGCTCCACAGCCAGGAATGAGGGCTGCTAACTGCACATGAGGATGCATGAGCCAAGGCACTGACTAGAAGATTCCACCCAAGTAATATTCCGTTGGTTAATAGCCACCAATCCTGGTTGCTATGCTTTCTAGTATAAAACTAGCCTTATTCCCAGTTTTCAGACACATCCTCCTACAACCACATGGTGTGTGAGATCTCTGTAACATCTTGAGTTTACCTCTTCTGTGTTCAATGTTTTGTTTGTGGGTGGTTGGGCATTAGAGCTGGGATAGGTTAGCTTTGCTGATTTATTCTAGTTTATAACTCCCAATTGTATTATTCAATTGCAATTTTTAAATGGTGTTGCTTATTTGTATTTGGGTTCTCTTTGTTACTTGCTCTTTTTACTTGCTCAATAAATCTGTTTCCTTTATAATTCAGTCTACGTCTTCCTGGGTAAAGCCTTGGTACTGAACCCAGTTCTTGCTTCCTGGTTACTGGCCCTGTATAATTTTGTGAGCTACCAGCTCAGGAAACATGATCTCCTCCCCCTCCCCAGCTCTTTTTTCTCTGGGCTCTTAGTGGTGTTTGGTAAGGTCTGGAGGTCTCCTCACCCAGGCTGGTTAGACAGAGGGAGCGGCAGCAGAGTCCCATGCAGGAGAGGTGTGTGCATTTGGCAACTGCTGAGTCACCAAGGATGGGATCCTGGGTTTGGGGAGCAAGTTCTTGACAGCCTTGCTTCATACCTTTGTTGAGCGCTTTCCCTGTGGTAGAGGGGAAATGACACACAGGGCAAATGATCTGTGAGCCCAGGAAGATACTGAGGAATGTTCTATGACTTTAGGTGCTAGATAAAAAGAGAGTAAGTTGCAAATTACAGGTTGATGAGAGTTATAGTCCAGTATTTGGAGGGCCATAGGTTAGTCCCCCTCGATTCAGAGGCATCTGCGGCCAAGAGTTGGACTAGCCCAACCTTCCCCAACCTTGTTTTCTGCAGATGACTGGAACAACCCCAGCCAGTATTTTCAGTAGTCAGGGATGATAGGAATGCACTCCAAGTCAACCAGACTGGGGAATAGGACTACACTGTCCCTTTGTCCAATTCATCAAGGTAATTCCTTTTCTATTAACACTGTCACAGAATAGCTTTTATTACTCTGTTTATATTTTGCTACTTTACTATTATTTCAGTTGATTCTCTTTTGAAAATCATGAATAGTTTAGTAATTGCGCAAACCCTAACTTGTATATTTGCATGTTGTCTAGGCAACCACTTTGAACAGCAGCCACCCATCACTCGTTGTTCAACCCAGTAATGATTAAGACTCTTGTAGAGTAGACTATCATTATACCTCATACACCTGGGACATAGTAGGGAGAACTGACTTGTTGAATGTCATTTATACCTTTTTTAAAATCAGTATTTTCCATAACTTTTATAAAGCCATTAATGAAGTAATTATCATCGATATCAGACAGCAGAACCACAAATATGGTGACATAACATTCCACTACCTAACTGCAATGTCCCCAACAGTTTATTCTGTATTTATTCCATAATGACATAACAAACAGACTAGGATTGGTGACGGATGTTTCCCTTCACATGAAAGGCACGAGAGGCCCATGTTGATCAAAATGACTCACACTGACTAAACCTGAATGCTCTGTACTGATTAACAGGATCAAAAGCTTCCTGCATGTTGTCTCAGGACCTTAGCATATGCTTGCTGCTTTCTCTCCTAGCTGGAAAGCTGTTGACATCAGATTTTTGCCACAGAGGAGAAATGTGTCTGTATTGAAATGAAGTCCATCTGGGTCCAGTCACACAGTATAAAAGTGTGTAATTAATACACACATACAAACTTGCTATTCCATTCATTGACACCCAAGAATGAAGACACCATTTTGGTTTTAGGCTGCACACACACAATACATTTAAAGCATACCCCCCACGCCTCCAAAAAAATAATTCCAGAAAGTTTAGTCTACCCTACACCATAGCTGTCAACCTTCCCTTTTTTGCAGGAAATTCCCTTATTCCAGCGCCATTTCCCGCTGCTATCCCAGATTGTTAGATATCCTGTAGACTGTCCCCAGGACTGGTGAGGCTGCTGATCCCTTATTTTCGAGGCTGCTGATCCCATATTTTCAAATCTGAAAGTTGACAGCTATGCCCTTCACAGAGCTGCATTTCGAAACATCCTTTGGATTGGGTATGTGTATGTGCACACACACACACTTTAAATGTATGGTGTTTACACAGCCTACATCTTTTCCAGTAGAGAGAAACTTCTGTTACTTTCAGTGTAAGGAAGCAGGTAGCATGGGAAACTGCTTGTGTGAAGTCATATCATGGGTCCATTGTCTAGAGAAGCTCTCCATGGACAGGAGTCTTCCCCAGCTCTAGCTAGAGATGTTGGTGACTGAATTGAGGAACTTCTGCATTCAAAGCATGTGCTCTACAACTCAGCCTTCCCCTTCACTGCAGCATATTTGGCGATATGTGTAAATCAGAGGATCTACAACCAGTGTCATGATCAGTACCCCCCTCCCCCGACCCGACTTCTTTCAGATGTCCTTTAGGCAGGAATTTGCTAAATTCATTCTGCACAGTTCAAGTAACATAATTGATTTTGTTCTATCATTGTTCCATTATCTTTTTAAATGGGGATAGTGTTGCGGAGGATTGACAACAGAGATATTTTCATTTGCAGGATGGAGAATGCTTGCTCTACATTCTTATACATGTTGCTTTATACAAGGAAAGAGAAAAGGAAACGAAATAGCCACATGGTATGCTGATTCAACATAGCATATGCCACCATCACAGAAGACATAATGCTCCCGTAAAAACACCTTAATAGCAGCTAAAAAGACACATGGGGCTTCTGCACTAAGTTATTCTACTATGGCAGGAATGTATTTTACACTCCTCAGCTAATTTGAAAAAGATTTCATGTACATTTTGTGTATGTGTTTTGTGTGTTTGCTCAATTAGTCCCTGTAATCTCTCATGTTTCTGACCAACTTTAAGGTACATTTCAACATAATCCTGAATGAATGAGATTTTGTCCAGGGAACTTGGTAGTAGGAATCAGAAAGTACAGTAGAGATCTAATTACTACCAACTGTAATCATTGCCAAACACAACATATGTACTTAAGGAAAACACATGGAAAACTCACCAGCACTACAGAACTCAAAAGCACACAAACATTCTTCATTGAGGAAAAGATTTGTTAAGCGGGATGGTGATCCCAGAGGTGTAAGGTAGTTCCAGGTGCAACAAAGATCCATGTTAATTTCACGCTTGAAGTGTTACACATGAGTAGTCATTGTTATGTCCATTTCATCTCTGAAGAGCTTCCTTCCAATTCCTCTATGTCTGGGGGTCATGAACATGCCGTTAAGATAATGCACAGTGGACCTTATTTCTCATAGTTGTTGTGAGGATAAGTTGTGAAAGGGATAAATCACGAGTCTCTATTCCTTCATAACCACTGGATAGATGAAAGCACGGAGGCTCACTTTGATTGTGTTTACATGCTACAGGAAATGGTTTACTTTGAATGAGTAGTGTTTATTTTTGGGTTGCAATTGTGTTACCAGTTGTGGTTTGTTTGGAAGAAACAAGTTCACATGTTATGGTAAGCCAAAGCTTGTGGCTGTTGTATTTGATACAGGGCAGGAGGAGTGGAATGAGATGGTATTATGGTTTACTACGACATGCAAATGTGATGGGAGTCAGATCTTGCAAATATTACAAGTGGTGAAGAGAATGAGATCTTGCAAATATGACTACCAAGACAAGAATTGCTCCCCACAGGCAAACCATCTGCAACAGCTTCCCCATGGTGACTACAATCTGTTCCCAGATCCATAGTGGCTTTTGAAGACCAACCTTGCAGTCCAGGAATCCAACCACCATACCCAAATTTTCCCAACATACATGTCTAACCTCTTAGAATATTCCATAACCTACCCGAACAACCTGATTCATTACTGGTCTGCTTTTCTACAGATGTGATTTTTGAATGACATAGCAACTGTATTTGTCCATGTTCCATTTTCTGCCATTAGAAGGGCACTGTGCAAAGACCCAAATGCAACTGGAGTTGCAGCAGTGCCAAACACAATAGCGGCTGCATTTCTTCTGTTGCCCCCATCCCCTTTGGGCTCAACTCTTTAGTAAAGCCAATAAGTATACTGCCATACAAACTGCAGCTCAGGAGCTGCCTCTTGGACTGTGCCACTTTGAGACCACAGGTGGCGGTTTACATGATGGAATTATTCCCCTTTGGGAATATACATAGGGGCAGAAACTGTTCTATATTTGGAGCTCATCCTTTCTCCCAGGTGCTCTGGGTGGCACCCACCCATCACTCCTGCCCATTTCATTGCCCCCAACAATCCTGCAAGGTAGAGCACGCTGAGAGACCATGCCAAGGTCACCCAGAAAGGTGTCTTTGGTGGCTGGATTGGAACCCAGATCTCCCTGCTCCTGGCCCAGCAAAGAAAACCAATACACCACACTGGCTTTTAAAGATATCGTCCTTCTTGGCTTCTTCTAGCCTTTGTATCTAGCCTGTGGACAATTCTAGCATGTCAACCCCTCGCCTTAAGTGGTACAGTCCAGGCACAGGCTTAAGCCGCTTACCACCCTCACCTGAAACTAGGCCCTCGCCCCAGTGATTCTGAGCGGCCGGCGGAAGCCTCTTTCTTCGTGAAAAGAGACGGAGCTTCGGCCGGGTCCTCGCTGGCCTCCTAGCCCAACTTTTATTTGGGGTACTCCAGCTGCGCGTGGTCCCCTCAGACCCGGCCTCTCTGGGTCGCGTCGCCTCCGTCGGCTTCACCTCAGCGCCAACTTGCCCGGGGCCATGACGCACCACCAGGCCCCCCTCGGGCGGAGAACTCCCCGTTCACCTGGCGGAGGCGGCTGCGGCTGCGGGAGAGAGCGCGCGGCTGAGCGCGGCCGCCGGGGAGACTCCGCGCAGGAAGCCGCCCTGCCTCTCCGCCGGCAACGGGCTCCGCCACCGTCGCCTCTTCCTCCGCCGCCTCTGTCGCGCCCCCTCCCCTTTCTGCGCGCCTTGTCGGAGAAGCCAGCTTGCTGCTGCTGCTGCTGCCGCCGCTGCCGCCAGCGCTCAACTGATCATGAAGGAACAAGAGGAGACGAAGGAGGAGGAGGAGGAGACCAGCAGCCCCGGAGGAAAGCGCTGCTCCTGCTCAGCCGCGGCTGCTCCTGCTCTGGGGTGGGCAGCTCTGGACGGGGGGATCAGGTGAGAGGCGGCTGCTGCGGGGCGCGCCGGCTCTCCAGGGAGGGAGGCTCGGAAGGGCGGGCTGGCCACCCTCGCCACCCGCGAGCCCAAGCCCCAATTCCGGGAATCAGGATCTCCCGCACGTGTGAGCCGCCCGCCAGTATTTTGTCGGATGGGAGGCAGGGGGAAGAGGCGGCTGGGCCAATAAGGGAGGGGGCAGAAGTGCGTGGGGAGGGGGTCTTTCTTGCCCACCTTCCGCCCACTTTTCCACATCGCCTTGGATCCCGATGTGGGGGGCTGCCGCATCAGCCGGGCGCGTTGTGGTCGCCTCGTCTCCCAGCTTCAAGACGATGCTTTAAAAATGTTCCGCTGCTGAAGAATGGTAACCTGATGAGTGCAATGGTGTGATTTGTTTTTATTTTGCCCTGGACGCTTCTCTCTCTCTCTCTCTCTCACACTCACTCACACACACACACACACACACACGCGCACACACTCCTCACTCAGCAATAGTCTACACACCCCATTAGCCCTGCCTAGGAATGGATGGGGAGGGAAAGTCTCCGAGCCAGACCGTCGGAGGGTGTGTGTGTGTGTGTGTGTGTGTGTGTGTGTGTGTGAAGTCATGCCAACTGGAGTCTGCCGAAGCGCTTTCCCTTCTGCCAGCGAGGTTGCTGGGGAGGGAAGAAGAAAAGAGGGGCTGGTCTTTCCGGAGGAGGGATGGTGTGTGTGAGAGAGCAAGGGAGTTGGAAGATGTCTTTTCCAACTGCGAGTCCCCGTTGTGCGAGGTCCCAGGTAAGGCTGCACCTTGTGACCCATTTCATTGGTGGGAAAGGCGCGCGCGCCGCGAACCGATTTCCGGGAGCCCCTTGCCACTCGGGGAGAAATCTCTGCTCTGGCAGGAAAGAAGATCTTGCCAAGTGCTCCTCCCCCGCCTCGTCTCCTTAAATTCTGCCACTGGCGATGGAAGAATGGGTCACCCCCGAGTTGGGTGACTCAACTCCCTCCCTGCTTCCCCACCCCAATTGCTCTCTGTAACTTCTGGGCTTCGGCAGCGGCAGCTCTGCAACCAATCGTATCGACTCTATTGGTTGCGGGGAGGGAGGTAAGGGGAAGGTACAGATCCATAGGCTTTTAGGATCTTTTCGGGGCGATGGGGCAGGGCTGTGGCTGACAGGCTGTGTCAGAGAATAGCAGGAGTAACTCCTTGTCTTTTCCTTGGATCCTTAGATTACAGACTCCCCCCGTGAAGGGGTGACCAAGCTGGAGGCAGAGTTGAAGTTTCTGCTCACTGTTTGGGGGTGAATCGGTGAGACTGAGGAGCGCAAGAGGGAAGTCAAAGGGAGCTCTGGACCACGGAAGGAGAAAGCGGAGAGAAGGATACCCATCACCTCATTTCTTCTCTGGCATCCGTTGCCACTGGCCATGAAGAGGAAACAGAAAAGATTTCTGCAAATGACGTTGTTGTTCGTGGTGACTCTGATTTTCCTGCCCAACATCGGACTCTGGTCTCTGTACAGGGAAAGACACCTGGTGAAATCCACCATGCTGGGAGAGCAGCAGGTAAGCAGAAAGCAAAAGATCCAGAGCAGCCCGGAGCATAGAGAGTTGTGTGTGTGTGTCTTTTAAGTGGAGAGTTAAAGCATCTGTTTAGTCGCCATAAAAAGCTGAATGGCTCTTTATTGTGATGCATCCTTTTAACTTGAGGCTCTTCCTCCGTGAATGCTGAACACACTCTAAAGACCCAATGAGGAAGAGGAGGATTTGGTATTAAGGTTTTCCGGAAGAAGGACAACTGTATAGTGAAGGGAGAAAGTTGGGAGAGGCTAATTTGTTGGATTTCCAAGAACAGTAATTGACTCTAGCCTGGGTGTGAGAGATGAAATTGAAGCCCACTTCCCCTTCCCCAGCAGTGATCATAGCCCATGGTCTGTAGTGAGGCTAAATTTGATCCACAAAGTTTGGGCATGGGTGTGCCTAGGTGTGTGCATAAGAAGTTTTCTCCTGATCAGAATTTTGCTATCAATTGTAAGGTCTAGAATGCAGCTGTGCCTAAGCAGTTTAATGTGGAATGAAGAAAATGCCATGATATGGTTTTAGAAATACGTATACATACCTCAGTATGGTCACATGATGATCATCACTAATTTCATTTTTCATTGTACAAAATGTCTTATGGTTCTTATCCTTCAAACAATCCAATGAATCGATTAAGCTGAGAGATTAGCCTTCTGGGGACTTGCAAAAGGCCATCTAGTAAAGTTCACAATTAGTCTTGCAGGCAAACTTAGCATCCTATTTGATCAGTGTAGTCCTCTTCCTGCTAGAACCTGTTTCTCTCCCCACCTGACGCCCCCAGTTTCCTACTGTTCCACTAACACTTCAAAGTGTCCAGGTTCCTTCTTTCACCAAATGTTGTTCTAGTAGTCAGACTCTATAGACAAAAGTATGCACACATACTCTCTGTTCGTGGACTGTTCTATCTGCTTGATGTCATAATGTGCTCCTAAGTATCTCTAGTTTATAGTCTTCGTCATCTGAGATTAACAGCAATTAATCTAACCTATATTTTTTGTCATAATTTTCAACTCATTAAGTTTATGTATGGCTCGTAAACCAAAATAAGACTTGCATTAAATTAAGTGCCTTTGAGAGAGTTGCTTTAATGCAAAACTTTAAATCATTGCTGCTGATAAATTAGGAAAGGCTATATTTCACTTGCAAATATTGCTGTGGGCCTAACTGCAAATAGTTCCATATAGATTTCAAACATTTCATACATGCATAAGGGTGAGAGATGCATGAAATAAAATAGAAATAGAAATATATGCTGTAGCTTGTTTATCACTTATAATGCACTGGGCAACAGCCATATATATTAACTGTTACTTTAATGTCCTTAATTTCAAGGGCCATCAATCAAAGTGTATTATATCTTTTCAACAGAGTGAATGTTTATAAATTAGTTTGATCAATGGAAGACACACTAATGCACATTCAATTGTTGATTGATAGCCTGCTGTTGACATTTGCTGTACACAGTTTCTATATGTTAGGCTATGAAGTGCTCTGAATCAAGGCAAAGCTTTACACTTATAAAACATCACTCTTTTTTAGAAGACTGCTCCTTCATAAAATGATTGTAAGGTTTAACAGACTTTCACAGCACAATCCTCATGCTTACTTGGAAGCAACTCTCAGTCTGTTCAGTAGGGCTTACTCCTTGGTAAGTATGCCCAGTATTGCTGCTACAGAGCACACTATTCTTCTAAGGCTCAGTGTGTTTAACCATATTAAACTATAAATGACTTTTTAAAAAAAGTATAAGTAACTGCTTTTTTAGCAGTTTGGTTGAAGGGATTTTGAGGTGAGAAATGCACATCTGAATGGCTGATGCCCACTTTTGTGTTCTAGTTAACTGTCAGCCCAATCCTAGCCCTGTTTACGCAGAAGTAAGTCCTGCTATGGTCAGTGGAGCTTACCCCTTGCTAAGTGTGCACAGAATTGTGGCTTAACACATTACCTTGAGTGGAGGGAAGAGTTATGCCACAACCCTAAGTGTGTTTGATCAGAAGTTGAGCCTCATGAAGCTCAATGGGGCATACTAAAGTGTACATATGGAAAAGTGGGCTCAGAATTGAAACAGCAGATGAAGAGCAAAACAACAACAAGCAATAAAAACTTCCCTCTTAAAAATCAGTGCATGGACAATGAGGAGATGAGCTCTGGAGTTCTAGGAGATCACTTGCTGGAACATGTAGGGTGAAATTAGCACTAATAAGGTCTTTAGAAATCACCCTGCTTGAGTAACTCTGTTCTTGGCTGTGCTGGAGAAGCAATATTACCTCCCCATTAGTAAAACAAGACTTTTAACAAAATGTTTTGAGAGGGCCTTCACATCACACGCAATAGTATCTATAGAGGCCTGTGATTCAGGTCTTGAATAAGTGTGCAAAAGAAATGTATTTATTGTAATAAGAGGGAACAGAATATCAAGTTGATGCTTGGTAGTGTGCATTTTGTGTGCAAGAGATGTGCTTTCCTGTGTTAATTATTAGTTCTACATCTCCTGCTTTTCAGCCAGATGTGCAAGAAATAGGGTGCAATAAACTTGGGTTCTAAGACTAGATATTTACATGGCATCATTTATAGTTCAATCTCAGGAATATGTGCTTCAAGAAGTGGTGCCAACATTTCTTGAATAGTTTCTCCACTTCCCATTATACTGGTATTGTACTAAGAAGCTGCCTGGCTTTCACATTTAAATTCATTTGATCAAGTTCTAATCTGAATGGACCTGAGTCTAAGTGCAGCAAAACAGACCTTTTTTCAGCTTGATTAAAAGAATGTACTTTTGATATTTCAGATGGGTCTCTCACTAAAAGAAAAAGTATACCACATTTCAGTTATTTTTATGAGCGTGATTGCTATTTAAGATCAATAATATCCCTGGATTGGTTGGATTGGGAGTCACTTGTTCGGAGGGCCAAAACAAGTGTCTGTTATACTTGCTATTCATTGGCATTGCTTGGTGTAGGATTAACCTCACCCCATTTAATTCTATTAAGGACAATGAAGTTCTGTAGAGCCATCAGTCATTCTGCACATTATACCCTAGTGTGGCTTCTTGACACATTGACTGAAAACTTTATAAATATTTTCTATTTGTGAATGCTTTTTAATACAGAGAGGTCTTCAAATTGTTTTTGTTTAAAGTTTGTAATGTACACATACCATAGTTTGTTAGGGCTGCAATCCTATATCCACTTACTTGGGAGTGAGATCTGTTGAATCCACTGGAATTTAAGTCTGAGTAGAGGTGCATCTGTGCAGATAAAACAGTGAAACTTGAAAGGTTCATGGTCTAGGCTGTATGGACTCGCATAGCATTCCCACCTGAAAGGAACTGGGATTGTGTACTATCAGTGATTTTTTTTTATTATTTAGGTTCATTTGTAATTGGTATATACTGTATTCCTTCCGCTGCATGAAATATACATGGGAAATGATAGGTGGCTGATTGAGCCATTGACTGGCAAAAATAGCAGGAGCTGGTGTCAAAATGCATCACAATCACTGGCAGATCTGTTCTTTAAATAATCAGAGACAGGAAACCAGCCTCTGAGGATCCATGAGACAACAAAGGTGCGCAAGGATAGTTGAAGGAGAGTAGTGAAACTAGAGAGAAATGCTGGACAGATCCCCATGTCTGAACGATGCCCAGAAGGCATCTGAAGAGCTAAGGCAAATAGAAGTGACAAGACACGACATCCTAGGGCTAACTGACAAATTAAAGGCTAACCAGTGTCCGGGTGGGACTAGTATCCACCCAAGAATTCTTAAAGAGCTCAAATGTGAAATCATTGATCGACAACCTTGGCATCCTAAGCAGAGGGCTGGAAAATAGCCAACATAGCTCTGGGTTGTTTTTATCAAGGGTCTAAGGAGAGCCAAGAAATTAGAGGCCTATTAACCTAACTTCTGTCTTGGGGGCATAGCTCAATGCTTTGAGTTCAATCCCTGACATCTCCAGGTTGGGTTGGGAGTACTACATTGTCTGGAATACTAGAGAACCACCCATGGCCTTGCTTGATCTCCAGGTAGGGTGGAGCTGCTGTG